TTTCACCGCAACATTGTTCTTTCCCCGTTAAAAAAAAATGTGATATTTTATTATTGCAATAGCCGATAAATTGTATTTATGAGTGTCCATTTTATCTTCTCTTTTCTAATCTCATTTTACAAGTAAGAATCTAAAAATATGGACTAATTGAAGTATGAAAAAAACCAAAAAAAAAAAAAAAAAAAAATAAATTAATCTTTAGCAACAAAGACGCAAGCAATCTTTTTTTTAATATAATATGCAAAATAAATGTACTAATGCAAATAAAGATTTCGATCGTGATTGATACATTAAAAAGTGCCTATTGAAGTAGATAGTGCAAGAAGTATATAGTAGACAGAGAATGAAAAAAAATTGATTGTACGAAAGAGACAGAGAGAGAATGACAGAGAGGGGGGGGAGGGATTGAGGGGGGGGGGGATTAAAAGTAGAGATATAAAGATAGTGGGAGAGGAGAAAGTAAAAATGTGACGTGGTTTTTTTTGAGAATCGAATACATTTTGTATATATTATATATACTCTTCCTTAGACGAGGAGAATGTTTTCGTTTAATTTATACATGAAAGCAAATGTTATTATAGATTTAGTTTATTATTATTATTATTATTATTATTATTATTATTATTATTATTATTTTATTATTATATTATATTATATTATATTATATTATATTATGATTGATAATATTATTGATTCTATACTGATTACTGATTAACCTATTATCGCGAACAGTGCGGCTTTTTAATGTGCAAGCAGCCTTGTCGAGTCTTGCAAAAAAAAAAAATCAAGTGGTTTTCTCATGGTATACCAGCCCCGAGAGAGATAGAACGAGATAACAACAAAACATATTATAGTCTTGCATGTACTCACTTCAATCATTATTTATTCGAAACGTGCAACAGTCGATTATTACTCAATGCGTTTCGCATTAATTTAGTCATCCGTGACTACTATATGCTATATCTGTTATTATTATTATTATTATTATTATTATATTATTTTATTATTATTAATATTATATTATTTGATATTTTCGCTACTATTATTAATCTTATTCTTCTGTCTTCTTCATCATCTTGTCACTGCCATCTATTCTTCTATCGATTTCTTTTATTATTTTATTCTTTTATTAATCATGATAGTTTCACAGATCGTTTTATTACCAGAGGCGATAGAATTAATTCATACCGGCGTGGTATTTATTCAACGTTACTGAATTTAACGTGATCGAATACGTTGTTTGTTCCTCTTGGTGGCTACTATTTTACATTTATTTTGGTTGATTTTTCTTTATAGTTAATGTCCTTTTTTGCTTCTGGAATTGAAGAAAAAAATAAAAAAAAAAAAAAAAGTCGATCGGCAAAATGATAAAAATAAAATACAAATTATTTGTTCAGAAAGTGGTGAAATAATGCAAATTCTTATTCAATTCAAAAGTAAAAAAAAGGGGAAAAAAAAGGAAAGAAGACTTTTAATTAATTCGTTTCTACTGCTACATCCCTCAAATAAATAAACACTACTTTGACTCACAGAAATGATCTTCCCGGAGGACTTTCTTTTTTAAAAAAAAAGACATTTTACTGTTTTTTAGGACCGGGAAGATCGATCTCCTTTTGTTTTATCGTTAATCTATTATTGAGGGATCTATTTACAAGTATTCGAGGGTTTAAATTTTTTTATCCTCTTAAGGGCTTCGGTTTCTCCCGAATGCAGACGCTCGACTACATGCAGCACCGAACAAGGCATATGCAAAATCATGAATGCAAAGCACGCATATAAGTTAACAATGAAACTTACTTTAACGTGTACGTCTTTTTTAATTTAATATATTTATTTTTTCTTGCGTATTTATATATTTATATAATATTTTATACTGCGTTCTTCACAGTTATTTACAAATATAATGTACGCCAACGTGCAGGTCGATCTCTTGGCTCTCAGACGAACCCTCGTGTTCTTCGAGTTAATACTTTTTTATATTATTATTATTATTATTTTATTTTTTTATTTATTTTTTTTTTTTTTTTATCTTTTTGAATTTCCCGCCAAAGTTCCTCACGTTTTTCTTTATAATCTATACATACATATGCACCGCAGATCCCAATAACCCTTTTGTATCGGCGTAGTTTTATTTTTCCCCTGCCCCTCCCCTACCCGCCACAAACACTCGAGAAAAATATCTTTTTTTCGTTCCAGCTGTGATTCAGCCCTAGCTCAATTGTAGATTTTCTTTTGTGTAAATTCAGGTCCTCGTATAGGCAGACATGCGAAAGAATTGTGTTTATTGTATTTATTATTTTCATCAATTGGTAAAAAAAAAAAAAAATAAAAAAAAAAAAATAAAGAACACACGCATATGCATACATTAAGTAATTAAAAAAAAGTGCATACTTAATTTTTCCTTGTGATAGAGAGCGGATAGAGCGAAGGATTGAAACTTATTGTTGTTATTAATACATGTGTAAATCGCGTGCTTCCTTCGATAAAAAAAAAAAAAAAAAAAAAAAAAAAAAAAACAAATTTATATATATTATGCAACCCCAAAAATACGTACTATGGATATACGCATATACGCATGGGAGCCAACTGATTATAGAATAGGCAGGAGTCGTTCGAGTCTGTCTAGGTATTTTGTTTTCAACAAATGTACATCTATATCTATGTATCTATATATATATATATATATATATATATATATATATATATATGTGTTTATATGTATAATTAATATTTTTCGATTTTTTTTTGTATTCTCAATTTTTGTTATAATTTATGAAAAAGAAAATGAAAATGATTTTTGTTGTTTGAAGATTTTTTAGTTTTATATAAAGGTATTTTTATGGAAAAAAACATTAGCCTGTAATTTAATGAATTTTGAGACGTGTTACTCAACGACTTCTACCTACTTTACAATGGGACCACAAAAGTGATAAAAGAACATAGATTTTCGTTATTAGAGAATAAACTCGTGCCGTAAAGAAGAAAAAGCAGCGTTTACTTGTAAATTTAGGGCGAGAATCAATCGTTCGATGTAGTTTGTTACAAAAGTGCCTTATATTTATTATTGGAACATATTTAATTGTGAAAAAGTGCCTCATCGATAATTGATAGCACGTTGATTCTCGCCCGTTTGTTTTCGCTGATTTTTCTGGTTTATTGGCAAACACACAAGTCTCATGTACCACGAAAGATGTAGTTTGATAAATAGAGATATATATATATTATATATATATATGTATAAGTATTGCCAACGACACATTATTTAATACATTTTATTATTACAAAGAAATTAAAAAGTGTTTAATTTTTATCTCATACTCCCATTATCCTATTCCTTAAAATTCTTTAATCGAATATACGAACAATTAATTATAAATAATCATTTATTATATTATTCATATTGCTTATGCATGCATATTTTATGAATTGTATGATGTACAGTATGCAAACACTATATTATAACTAAAGATACTTTCTTTATATTTATTTTAAATTAATTTCTCTAAAACATTTACTCGCGTGAACGTTTTCAACATCATCGTGTACGAAAGGGCTTAAACATTGTAAACGAATTATTTAATCAGTTTTATTTTTTAAGTAAAAAAGTAAATATGCATCTTGAATGTGAGCTTAAATTATTACGTTTCCAAGGACACTGAGGAATGAAAGCAACGTAAGTATAAATATTTATTTTAAATGAGTGTTTTATGCAAAAGGGAATTCGAAGTAGGAAAAGATGAAAGGTATCGAGTTTTTTTTTTTTTTTTTTTTTTTTTTTTTTTTTTTTAAATAATAATTAAGTGCCAAGGTTTAACGATAAAGGACAAAATTGCAGTTAAAATTCATAAAACGATTGATAGTATATAGCAGTCCTATTGTTGGCAATTTTGGTGTACTTTCTCATAGTAAAAGTTGATTGAATAATCGATTAAAGTCTCTCGCACATTTGTCCTTATTTGACCTTTCTTTATTGGATCGAATAAAGAGCGCGAACCTTGCATATACGAGTTTATTCGGGAGAGAATAAAATATCACTTCAATGTGAAATTGCGTACGCTTGAATTATCTCGTCTTGTCGAGCTTATTATCACAGCGTTTATACATTCGTAGTGTTGTTGACTTCACGATTAGAGGCGAAGAAATAAAATGAATATTAAAATGCGCGTTAAGCAGTAGTTGGTTGTGGGCG